AAGCAACAAGTCATCAAAAGTCTGGTCTGCAAAGTTAACTAGCACTCAGCTCCCTTCATGCACAAGTGCAATTCCCGCTCGGATTTGTGCCTAAACTCATTCTGTGCATGAACAAAACCAGACCTGGGACATCATCTTAGAGCGCAGCACTAGCCCCCATTTGAAAGGGGCTGAGCAGAAAACTCTGCTTGCGCTGGCCTGAAGCTCAGAAGGTCCCGCTCCTCAGGAAAACCATCCAGATCCAGTTCAGCCTGGAGCTGCAGCTCAGCAAAAGTGCAGCCACAAACACAAAGCTGAAGCCCACAACGGCACTCAGCAGATGTATCGTTCCACAGGGCCAAGTGCTTCCCATCGCAGCCCCCTCGATGGGGGAGAATCGGCATGAGGAGCCAGGCGGTCTGTGGGTTGCTCTTGTAGACTCCCTTCCCTACACTGCATGATTTTTCCTTTAATCTATCAATATAAAAAGTTGAAAAAAATTAAATATTTTAGAAAATCAGCTTTGTTTTGTTCTTAAAAAAAAGAAGGAAAAGGGAGAGAATATTTTAAATATTCCTCTACCCCTGCACAGACTGTTTCCTATTAAAGGCAAGTGTGCTCAGCGTTTCTCTTAAGATTCTGCTTCCTGTTGTGTAATATGGAATGTGAAAAATCCCTATATCACTTAAGAAGTTATTATAAACTCCAGAGAGTGTTCTATTCCCAAGAAATCTCTCCCAGTGGGAAGCTGGAAGAGTTCCTGTTGAACTTCCAGCAAATGCCTCAGACCCTATGTAATATTTATGGTGTCCCTCTCATCTTATCCAGGCTGCTTTGCTGTTCTGCTGCTGTGAAAGAAAAGCCTGTTTCAGTGGTTATGGGCTGTGACATCCACTTTGAAGGATATTGAAGCGGATACGATAGCCACAGGAAACGTTCCCGTCTCACTGAGGTACCTCAGGGAGGTATTTGGTCAAAAGAAAATTCACTAATCTGATTCCAAGGGAAAAAAAATAATAATAAAAAATCACAGTAACTTAATGAAGAAAGAGAAAGAAGCAAGACAGATCTGCATTCATAGGTTGCCAGATATGGATGCCGTGAAAGGCAGAGGAAAAAATTCCCATTAACTTCCATAGGAATGGGATTTAGAGCCTGAAGAACCTCTGTTCAGATGGAGTTATGCTTCATTTTTTTAGGGCCAATTATAATTAGGTGGTGTCCATTCCCATTACAAAAAGCCACAGTATCATGGGATGCAGACGTGTGTTCACAGAGCTCAAATTGCCTACAAGGACCACAGCCCTCCTTGTCTGCAAATATTAGGACAGCTGGGCAATGACTTTGTCAGAGCCCCCATATTACATATGTATTACATGCAGAGATGGTAGGAGATGCCACCTCCAAGTGCCTCTCCAACATTGCTCCAAGCAGTAAAGTGCCTGGGCCAGGACAACTGCAGAATAAACATCTCAAAACCTGCTTGAAGAGAAATTTCCCCAGAGAGCTCCTGACTTGCCCAGAGAGAAAATATTGAGAAGCAATTCACGGAGAGACAACTGCCTGATCCCTTAGCTTGCTGCTCATGAAGGACCATCCGGTAAGGAGCAAACCTCTGAGCAGAGGACTGACCTGGTCTCAATGGACTTTAAATTTAACCCCAATTGGTTTCACCTTGATTCAACACAAGATCCATGACAAGAACACGTGACAAGCAGTGGAAATAGCTGCACATTCAATAGTCAGAGGGAACAGGGGTAGTGGGTGGATGTCTAGAGAAAGCCTTGGGTTGAACTTCCCATACAGAGGATGTACACAGACTGCTCCAACTCCCTTAGTGAATGCTTTTAAGATCCTACATTACAGCCCCATCTCATAAAACTAGAGGCTAGGGATTCAAGTCTATATTTAAGAGTCTAAAACAGAATTCATGATTCACATTAATGATTTGCATGTGCTAAGTACTGACGAGCTTTCACTGGTCCCTAGGGAAGATGCTGGGTGCCCAAGCATATTTTAAAATTTGGGCACTCTCTGAGGAGACATGAAGGTTATAACTTGAGGAAGGTTGTTCAGAGGTGCCAGAGGGATTAGACAAATAGAAAGGACAGAAGAAGGGCTGAAAGGAGGAGAGGAAACGAGCAAATGAGAAGCTGGGCACAAGAGGGAATCCCAGCTGCAAAATCTGCCAGACAGCAGCAGCAGCCCTCAACGGAGACAGCCCAAACGTGAGTCAGTGCGAGGCAGCCCGAGCAAAGCTCTGGAAAACACGGCAGAGGATGAGCCGTACCCCGAGCGCTGCCCCACAACCCGGCAGGGCAGCCCGGGTCTGCTGCCGCCTCCACAAACAGAGAGGAGATGATGTGGGAAGGAGGCAGTTGCATTAGCCGTATCCTGGAGGGCAAGTCGTGGTTCAGGAGACACACAGTGCAGTGAGCAAGAAGCAGCAGGGCACCGAGCCTGCGTTTTTAGCCACCTTCTCATACTCACGCTTACGGAGCAGGAGAACTCATCACACCAAAGAAACCACATTTCGTTTCAGATGTGGGCAGATAGTCTGGGACTAACTGAAGGTGATGCTGCAATGAAAGGACTAAAATTTCTAATATTGTCAAGATGTCTCTTGTGAGACATCAAGAGTCGATAAGATGTGGGCACCTTCGTCCAGAGAGCAAATAGACTGAAGCAGTATAGGAGAAGAAATAGTAGCTGTTCTGCACTGAAAAGTGGAGAGATTGAGGGAGCAGTAAGATTATAGAGTTGGAGTCTGGTTTTATTTAGCATCCTCATTAATTACTTGAGGATGAAAAGAAGCCAGTATATTTACATCTGAAAAGAAAGCCAACATCTGTGTTGCAGTGAGCATCTAGAAATATGAGGAGGAAGCACTGAAATGAGGCTCCGTTTAAGAAAGTGAGTTCCAGAGAGGGTGCGTGATCCAAAACGCAGCTATTCAGTGGAAAAAAAAATCAAGCCCAAAAGCAAAGATTGTGGTGGAAGGTGTCCTATGGGACACAGATTTATAGAACAGCCAAGAAGGATGCAAAATATTGACAGGTATGTATTTGTGCTGGATGCATTGGAGACAACACATCTCTGGCAAATGGTTCATGCCTACAACTGGACAGAAATGATGGGTGATTCCAAACCTAGATGGAATCAGGAGAAAACTCAGGGAAGAATGAGAGAAATTAGAATGGGGTAATTGTATAACATTAAGACACATTGAAATAATTAAACTAAACTTAAAAAACCCTTAAGAGAGGCTCAGCTTAGCTGAGTAGTAGTCAAGATCTACTCTAAAAGCATTTACAGGCGCCCACTAGGCACCAAGTATCTGTTCAGGAAAAAAATTCAAAAAATGTTCAAAATCTCAGTCTTTTGTGAAACTAGAGACTCTGATTTGGAGTAAGGCAACTACTGTTGCTGGGACCTGGGAACAGCAGCAATATCTCACAGTGCAGAGATGCAGTCATCTCTATTTTGAAGCCATGGATCATCTCTCTGGTATGCCAAACTGAGCCTCGAGCCAGGAGGGATGCCTGTTTACCTATTAACTACTTTTAAAGACTGTACCTGTGACCTATAAGTTTAATTTTTTGTAGGACTCAGGGAGAAGCTGCATATCTCTGCCTATAAAATGTAAAGAAAAAAACTCACTCCTGAATTTTCTTTCCCAGGTGAGACAGTGCAATACAGGAAATAAGACTATGTTAAAGAAGGCAAAGCCAGGCTTGCTTCACAACCCTCACCCATCCTGCATCCCCAGGAACCCTTCATTTCTTTAAGCCTTTCTGCAAAAGCAGGAGTTAGGCTTGGGTCTCAACTCTGCATCAGATCTCACCTTGTTTGAAGCCACTTGGCCGATATGGCATGAGGTGAACTATGTTTGGTGGATATTTTGGAGGCCGTTGGCTTGATAGTTGGCCAGCAAAAGGCTCCACTCAACATGCTCTCCTTCCCTGCTTCAGTAGCTGCCAGCCACTCACCTCCTTGGTGTCTGCTGGTTTAATGAAGTTCCACCAGACTGAACATGCTCTATAGGCAACTGCTATTAAAAAGGCAAAACTTGTGCCAGATACATCTGATGGGCCAGAACTTAACTAAATGCAAACTGCGACCCAAGCTGTTTAGATTTGCTCAGTTGCTTTCTGCCTTCCTCAGCATATTCCTAGGACTGATCTCATGATGCTGTCCTTCATGCCAGACTTTTTTTTTTTGTCTATCTGAATTTTCTTTTCCACTAGGAACTTCCAAGTCAGGCTCCTCGAGCACTTTGTGCATCTATTTCACTGCTTCAGTAGAATGGTTCAAATTATAATTTTCCAGCTGAGACACAAGCACTAGTTCTTTGGAGGCAACTTTTTTTTTTTTTTTTTTGGAGACAACATGGATTTCTCTGAGGTCCTTGAGAAGATAAAATGAACCCAAGGTGCAGTGGGAAAGCCACTGTGCTAGAAGCAAAGTTTTGGATACAGGAAATTCGTGCTCTTTAACATGGGAAAGAAGTCATGAATTTGTAAGTCTATCCCATGTGCTCTTGGCAACATGCTGATTGTCAGCCTGGGATGACATGAGAGCCTTCAAGATATGAGGCACTGAGTGGGAATAACAAATGACAGATACAAATTGGAGCTGAAATCTTCTGCTGATGCTAATCCAATAGAACCTGCCATAGTAGCCAAAGCTGAGAATTGGGCTACCAAATTTTGTGGCTAACTAGCACAGCTGTCTCGTGGCCTGCTCAAGGCAATACCAACCACTGCTAGGTCACACTAGCACTGTGTTGTAGACATCCTTTGCCTTGAAAAGCTGCCACTTACCACTGTTTCATGTGCTGTGGACACCCTGGCCCATGGAGGGGTTATGGAGTGGGTCTCCTGATGCAGTGTGGGTTGAATTTAGGAGGCTGGGAGCCTGTGACTTGGAGAAAGGCAGGAGATCTGTCCCCATCATCAGTGCCATGAGCTTATGCCTCTGGCTTGGAGGAAGCAAGGCTGAGGAGCTGCCAGAGCTTTCCAGGAATGGATGAACAGGAGCAGGAGGCCTGAGGCTGATGAAGTATCAGGACGTTCCTGGATGAAACACAAGCTGACATCTCACTGCTCACACACGGCGGTTTCCTCTCCCTATCACATCTCATGGCCATGATCCTGGAGCAGGAGCTTGGGGCAACCAAGATGCACTTGTTAGATACTAAGAACTCAACACAAAGGAGAAGGAGCAGTTGTCTCTCCTCACCACAGCCCTGGATACAGGGCTGGCCTGGAGCTGTCCCTGGAGCACCCCACAAGCTCATCACCCATTGCTGAGGGCTGCAACACCAACTGCAACAACTAGTGCAGGCAGCGTGATGGGAAATGCACGGGAAAGGCTGGAGCCAGGCTCTCTCCCACAGCGTGCACATCGCTTGGGCAAGAAAACATGCACCGCTTCAGGGCCCTAATCCCCATACTTGACCCGTAGCACAAATTCACTTATAAAGTCACCTTATAAAGTAAACAGCTTTGATCTGGCAAGCTGAATTTAAAGCACTTGAAGTTTTATTTACTCTTTTACTGTGGGGAAGAAATTGCACTTTTTTTTAAATAATGGCTAAGAAATAAGTGTTTCCAATCCTTGTGCAGGGAAAATCTGTATCAGCAACAGTACCAAGAAGGCTCTAATTTCTGGGCCTGCAGGGCCAGAGGGGCAGCAGCCCCTGTGCCCACAAGCTGCCCGAGCACACACTGAACTGCGAGGAGCCCAACACCTGCAGGAATGACTGGAAAACTGACTCTTGGGTGAATCGGAGGTTGCTAAGGGTCCCATCACTGCAAGGGCAAAGAACAGAAGGATGATAAAATAAATCATGACCCTCAACAATCTGTTAAGGATCTCTAAAAAAAATAGAAAAAAGGAAGCAAGTTTGCAAAACCTGGTTGTTTTGAGGCTTGTGCTTGGCAATCGAGCCAACCCACGCTCCGCTCGCGCCTCTCCTCGCGGCGCTCTTGCACGGTGTTTCGACAGCGGCTGGCTGGGCTCAGCGCTGTGTCACAGCCACCTCATTGCCCCGTGCTGCCACCAGGGCACTGGGTTCCTGCCGTGTGCCCTCTGCGAGCCCGGGGCACCCGCTTCCCCTTCCCTGGGTTGTGGCAATGGATGGCCGCCCTGCTCCACACCAAAGGGTGACGATGGGTCAACTTCCCGCCGCCCCGTCACCACCACGGTCGAGCCCGCGGTCACCTGGAGGCCTGCACTGGATCCTGGGTGGCAAAAGCTGCTTTTAGTAGCCCCATGACAGGCAGCTGAGGTTGCAGTTGATGCCCTTTCCTATGCACAGCCCTCCAGATACTGTGCTCGTGGTCATTAAAACCAGCTCCATGTCCCAACAAGCCATCAGGGGTCCATATCACACCTACTCACCAGGTTGCAGCCAGAGCAGATGAGGCAGCATTGACTCTGACTCCCAATGTTGGCCAGGCTACACCACAGGCTTCATATCTGCACCGTGAAATTGGAGGCTGCAGGGTCAGAGGCAAAACAGTTTGTCTACAAAACACATGGATCCATGGAGCAAAGCGTGACAGCCAGTGACAAGTGTCACTCGTCACTCGCCGAGTCCACCGACCTTTACTCAGCAGTATTTCTTCGGCCGCGGCTATCGCAGCTGCCTCACCTCCCCGCTCCAAACCGCGAGGGTTACGATACCGAGCACATCTGTTTCCTGTTTCACAACCTCCTTGCCGGAGAGCTGTCAAGCAGCAGCTTCATTGACACGGAGCACACGCCTTCGAACCCAGCCAGCCCCTTCATGGAGGGCTGCCTTTGTGCTGGCAACGAAGGACATCTACATTCACAGAAACCCCTTGCCTGCTCTTCGGGGAAATCTGCAACTTCCCCTTTCCCCCTTACTGCTCGTGCAAGTAAACAGGTACCTGTTTTTATCAGAAATGCATGAGCTAAACAGAACACAGAACATGCAGCTTCAGTAATGCAGCGACTGTTGGGCTTCTTATGAACATTGATACGTTATCATGAGCACCCATGTGCCAAGTTGGTGTGTGTGTACCTTGACTGCTTCCTTGATGCCAGTCCTTCGGGTAAAACTCTTGGCCAAAACAACGAGCAGAGGAAAGACCTGGTCATTTCACTGCAGGCTACATCACACGTTTCTGCAGAAATCTCTTCATGTCACCACCTTTCACCTATCAGCTAAATATAACCTCAGAAAGGTTTTTAATTACCTTTGACAGAAGGAATCAAACAAGCAAGAAACTGAGTCCGCAGAAGGGGCATCCTGCATAACATGCTGCACACAAAGCTACAGGAAGTATCTGCAGAATCAAAAGATTTTGTGCTGTACATCTGTTTGGTGCCTGGTGCATTCAAGATACCTGGTACATAGCCTGTCCACTCCCCAATTTAGGCTCCATCTTCCTACCATCCTCTGCTAATGCTGGTGATGAAGACTTAGAAGGTCCTTTTCCTGAAGTAATAGTAGCCAATGAGATTGAAAATAACTCATTTTGTAACCCCCTTTGCCCTTTTCTGTGCTCTGCTTCAAGACTCTCAAAACACTCCCCCCAGATGAGCCTGGCTCTTCACCATTTCAAGCTTAGTCACTGGAACCTGACGGGCCCAGCCACAAACTTAGGGATTTACAGTTGTGCAAATATTCGGAGCTGTTGAATCCCAATCTTGAGAGCAACAGGAATCCCAGACAGCACGTTGTTCAGCAGTGCTAGCTTTAGGGCATCACCAAAAGCCCAAAGGAAAGGTCTGTCTCGACCTGCACATACCAGTCTCTGCAGCTCTCCACTACAGGCTCTCTGGGTCCTTCTTCTAGCTCCCAAGCTTCAACAAGATCTATGCCACACAGAACCAGCTGATGCTTCCCAGGCAGCCTTACACAGCCGGGGATAAGGATAGGCCGCTGGGACCCAGCTCACTTGCACCCATCCTCACAGTGGACATGTAGGAGTTTTTCTGCAGAGAATAAATCTACTAATGCCCTTACACCACGAGGCATCAGTTATCACATACCACGTTGTGGGTACAGACACTGTCATACCTTCCTACAAACCCAGCTACTGGAGACACATTTGGACACCACATCTGCTGAACATGTAGTTGAGAAGATGTCCTACCGCATGCACTGGGCTCTCTTACTTCTTAGCTTGACTTCCTGCAGCAGTAGTTTTGCAAGAGACTGATATTTTTAATTGATCCTCCATTCTTTTCCTAAGCCTAATAGCAAAAAACCCTATTTTAACTTTTTTTTTTTTAAAAATCCAACATCCCTAGTAGATGGATGAAGGCTGGAAAACTTTAAAAGGTCTTACTTTTACAGATTGCTCAGATTTAAAGCTGAATTTCAAGAGCTCATGCCGTATTTGGGGGAAGAAAGGAGAAAAGAAATCACTGCGCAAGTTCAGAATGAAGCTGAAGAGACGAAAAGGGGGAATCCTTAATTGAGCCTTGTCTTCCACAACCCGGAAACGCCACAGACATCTCTTCAGCATCATCTGCTGTCCTTATTCGGTGTCCCAGGCTCAGGCGTGCTGCAAAGATTTTGCAGGCCCAGCAGAAATGTTTGTGCAATGTTTATCCGATCAGCGAAAGCCTTTGAAGGCTTGCTTGGGGAACGAGTCCTAACACTTCATAACTTAGACGCAACGGAAAGCCTTGGTGTCTCCCTTTTGCAAGCAAGGCACTTTTTTTGTGCAGCAAATTGGTGTTTTGTACCAAGATCAAGAGTTGGCATGAAAACAGGTTGTCACATACTGAATATATACAAGTTTTTTTTTTCTGGACAAAGCTTGAGATAGAGTTGTACTCTGTTCTCTCTTCAATTAAGAGTTCACGTCAAACATACCGTATTCTTCACTGCATACACCACCCCTAGAGGGAAAAAACCCAAAACACAGGGATTTGCAGCTCACTGCAGAAACTATCTGCAAAGGTACAAGTCCAGACGCATGCTCTCTCCTGCTGCTTGGCACTGAAAGAAAACCCAACATTAACTCTTTTCCAGGTAGCCAAGGCGGCGAATGTGCAGTAGGGAAAAAGCACCAAATGCATCTCTCCATGCTGACTGTGGGAGTGCTGGCACATGAACGTGGAATAAATGATGTGACTATCAGAGAGACAAAAGCAGCTTGGGGAGAGTCCCCTTCTTTGGAGACCTGGAGCAAAGCTCCTCTACAATACCGAGTCAGATGCTCTTTCCTGCTTTGTTGCCCATGGGTAAGGTTTGCAAAAAACAACCCCAGCTACTGCCTTTTACAGGTCCCAGAACAGCATGGGTCCAGCTTCTGCTGGCAGCTTTCAGGCTGGCACTGTGAGATTCAGTATGATTTTGGTGTGACTGGTCCCCACGCTGGACAACTGTGTCCTGCATCAAGCAGAGCTGCACGGGTCAATGCCGTCCCCATCTATGGCTGGCTTTACATTTGCAGCCGTGTTACCTGATCTTTTCTATAAGTTCATTTCTGTTTCTAATATCTGGACGATTTGATACATTTTCAGCAGCAAACACTTCTGACTTTCCACGTAACATCTAGCCTGGATAAGTCAAGACATCTTAAACATCATCTGTCCCAACCTCACTTTTCTGACCACCACTTGAGAAGTTTTCAGCTTTCTCCTCAGGTTAAATCATCAGTTAAGTATTTTAGATATTTGTAGGTACTATGATCTCATTCATGCCTTCTCTAAGACCATAAGTTCAGATCCTGATAAGCCTGCAGGTACTACACACTCATTCGTGTCACATCTAGGACTGTTAGCTCAGACATCTAACAGCCTGAACTTCCAGTTTCAAAGAAAGAACGGAAAACAAATTCTCAGAAACACTATCACACGCCTGCTCCTATTTCTGACCACTTGGGAAATACCATTTTGTCATAATATGCCACAGATTGTCCACTGCGCAGTTTCTTAGCAGCTTCAGATTCACTTTTGAGGTATTCCTACTCTTTGGTCAATTCTTGACCAGGAAACATACCCTGTTCTGAACTGAGCACTGCAGTGGTGAGGCCAAGCTGATCCTTCAGCTAGAAGATTAAAATACACTTTTAAAGCTAAATACAGACATACCAGGATTGCAGCAGGGGGTTAAGCTAAGTGGAGAGCAAGTCACTAAGAGCTGAATTTTCAGCAGAGAAACGCACACCAAACACATGCAGGACCAACATCGGACAAATCTGCCAAGAGCAAGTGATGATTCACGTAACTTCCATTAACAATAACTTACTTAAATGCAACAAATTCCTGCAAATCTCCTGATGATACCAGTTATCTCCTACAGATACCACTGTAATCTCTCATAATCTTCAACTCTAGGGAAAAAAATCTGCCTTTGTAACTTTCATTTTCTTTAGGGAAAACACTAATTTCCACTTTCCTCCTTTCCTTTTCAGTATCACAAAGTTGCCCCAACACTCTTAGTTCCTGGGACTTTCTCCCCATTCCATTAAAATTACTATTTTTTTTCTTTCTTTTCAGAAATGAGCTGTAACTTGATAATTCTGTGTTGCTTCATCCACACAACTCTCACTGCCGCAGCAAACGGGACTGGACCTTGAGCAATGTAAGTTCAGAGGAGCAGATGAGATAACTGGGGCAGGAATGAGACTATATGATGCATTGCTCTTGCGAAAGGGGAACATAAATTGCTGAGGCAGTAAACAAGTGCTTCTTGGCAGATCAAAAACACAACATTACAGGCAGCAGCAAAAGATGGGTTTGACATTTTCAGGGCTGTCATTTTGGGGATGACTCTGGCACAATTTGTTTTTGCCATGATTTTTAAACTTTCAAACAGCCACTACGCAAACAACATGCACTGTGTGTTTCAATCTTTGCAGTCCCTCCAAGATACTGAAATAGTTAAAGTTTGTCACACTCCCTAAGACACTAGAAAATATTCCTTCAAACGGGAATCATGTTTGAGATCATTTTTGTAAATTCTGTTAGCTACAAAGGAAGCAGACATGCTCATGTTTCCTTCCATGATTTCAAGATGGTACCAAGCACTATAAACGTTTCTAGCAAAAAAAAGTTTTATTACCAGTGCTCCAGATAACTATGCATTAATGAGTAAAGTTTATGTAAATATTATTGAGTGTGATTATATCGTAGTTACCCAAAAAGGAAACACTATAAACTACAAAGAATCAATAAAAGAGCACAAAGCCCCTGTACTGAGGACAGTAAAAGGTAAAGGACAAACCAGGAAAACTACAACCACGATGATGACCAGAGGCACAGAGAGAAGGAGGGACCTGCCTTAAGTCACATGAAAAAGGTCACATAGATCCAGAGTGATCCTACACTTCCTCAGTCTTAAGTCTAAAGATTCACATTAGCACTGCATTTTTTCTCAGACTAACTAAATTTTGCTTTAGCTCAACTCTAGGGTGAAAACTAGGTATTTCACAGAGAAAAAGAATGGCTCCTATTTCCTGTAAGTTGCTTCTAGAGCTTTTATTTGTGGTATCAACTGGTGTCAAATCCCTCA